ACGTTCAAATCACGTCGGGGTCACCAGATATGGATAACATAACTTGTGTAAATCCAATGACCGTTATTAATAATAATTTAAAAATTAGTGATCCAAATAATTTTTAAATTGAAATTTTTGTAGAAAATTATAGCGACGAATTAAAGTTCTAAAATATTAATATATTTTCAACATCTGTATACGTAACATCAAAATTTATTTACTACTTTAACAATTAATAATACTATAAAAAAATTTTCTTAATAAAGAAATAAATGAAGAACAAATAAAACTGCACGGCACGAAAACCCGACCGATCACCATGCTTGCTCACACACGAAGCAACAAAAACTTGCCAACAGATAAAAAGAAGCTCACACACAATGGTTGCCAGATTGATATATGTAATTTTAAACATTTCTTCCACCTAGACGTGGAGATATGACCGGATCTTTCGTCTATATTACTCGTTCGCTTCAGGACGTCCTTCAATGTCGATTGGTAAAACAGAAATCTAGGTGATGGGCCGTTTCACAATGGCTGACTATGTTTAGATGGTTACAACACGAACAGCACCGTTCATGTCAGGATGAACTTGGATAATGCGGCCAAACAACCAGGAGCTTGGAGGCAGTCGTTCATCTCGAATTAGGCACAGTTGACCGGCTGCGACAATTCTTTGTCTCTTATTTCATTTGTTTCTAGCATGTAATTGTGTTAAATATTCTTGGGACCAACGGCGTGAAAAGTCTTGATACATCTGACTCAACATTTTCCATCAAAATAGTACACCAATCTTTGTATTTAGCTAATTAGATTCAGGTACGGCAGATGGCGATCATCCAATTAAAAAATGTTCTGGTGTTAACGCTGATAAGTCCTTGGGGTCGTCAGATAGAGCCGTAAGCGGCCGCGAGTTTAAACAATTTTCGACTTGTTTTAGTAACGTGTAAAATTCTTCAAAAGTTAAAGTTACCGTGTTTACTACACGTTAAAAATGAAATTTCATGCTTTTTACTCCCGCCTCCCATAGGCCACCGAAATGAGGCACTGTGGGCGGTATAAAGTGTCAATTTATGCCGACGGTTGATACAAACACATACCCAGCTTAAATTTGTTTTCTAAATAATTTAATTTCATCTTTCATTAAAGCATCAGCATCGACAAAAGATTTACCACGATCGCGGTACATATCTGAGCATATGCCACGGACCGATACAAATCGCTTTAAAGCTGCTAGAAATGTTTCAAATGTAATATCTCTCACATATTGCAAATGAATAGCTTGTATAATAAAACATATAAATAGAACCACATACCCCTTGTAAGAACGATGGCCTCTCCCTTTTGTTGCTCTCACATTAAATGGACCATCATATTCCACGCCAGTATGCATGAATAGTTGTGATATGTTACATCGGGCTGGAGGTAAGTTACCTATAATTTGTGCTTGCGGTCGACATGCTTGACGAAAACATGGAATGCATTTGTTAATCACTCTCTTCACAGCGGATCTTCCGTCAATAATCCAAAACTGCCGTCGCACATATGCTAATGTTGTTTGAGGTCCGCCATGTTCGATTATTAGCTTGATTAATAATCAACGTAGTAAAATCATGACGTTTTGGTAATATCATTGGGCATCGTTCATCTGAAGGAATATTCGCATTTTGCAGTCGTCCATTTAGACGCATAATTCCGTCGGAATCAAGCTTCGGGTTCATTTTAAAAAGTTTACTTTATTTTTAATTCAAGTATAATCGTTGATAAACTCATTCTTTTGTACAATTGTTACTAATTTTTTAAGGACCGTATAACGTTCTTGCCAGGTGCAGAAACTTTCATATCGATGCATCTTTTTTTGACACGCATGAATAAAACGTAGGCATTGCGCCACAACTACAAGTAGTTTGTCAAGAGTAGCATATCGTCCAAATATTTCCCATACTTCTGTTGATAACTGTGTAGTTAAGGAGTTAATCTCTTTTTTCTCAGGAGTATAATTAATTTGGTGGTTAGGTCACATTTTTTCATTTAAGCGAAGCCAAGATGGTCCGTACCACCATATTAAATTATATCTTAGCTGCAAAACTGTACTGCCTCGTGATACACAATCACAATCAGATTATTTGTTGCAATATACCTTCAGTCTTCAATATTTGTCATTGACTGAATTTGTGACACTCTGTTTGCTACAAACTGCTTCAGTTTGCCTGGATCAGTTCTAATACACCACAGTGTGGTTGTATTATCAGTCCACAAAATACAGCGTGATTGTTGACACTTAAATGTTCCTTTAACCTTGTGTAGAAGTTTTGCTGCTAGCAATGCTGCACATAATTTTAAGTGTTGTGTAGACGTTTCTTTCAACGGGGTAGTAAACTAAGGTAGTTTTACTAATAAGCAAATTTACAAAACTGGTCGTACCGATGATTGTTCTCGCTTATACTGTAGCCGCATATGCTTGATTTGATGAATTACCAAATGCGTGTATTATAACTCAAATGCAGTTGTCGAAGTGGTGTATATCCAACACCACTTTGATTCGAATTTGATGTAATTGTTGTAAGTCAATACGAAAGTTATGCCAAATGTGTGCCATCTCTATTGACAAGGGGTTATCCCAATCTGATCCAGTACGCCAAAGTTGTTGCAAAAATATCTTTCCTCGAATGATGACCGGTGCCAAGTACCCAAGTGGATCAAATAACTTTGATATGTCAGACAACATTAGTCGTTTTGTGTAATGATGGTTGTCACAAGTTATATTGACGTTGTAACCAAAGCTGTTGGATTTTGTATACCAAGTAAGACTAAGTGTCTTAGTTTTATATTCGGTGATAATTTCCACATTATCGGCGTGAGCTTTCACGTCCTCAGTCAGAGTGCTTAAAACTTCATTTGAGTTCGAATTAAATTTACGTAATGTGAAGCCTGCAGTTGCTAAAAGCTCCTAAAGTTTGTGCAATTTTTCCGCAGCTTCGATTGGAGTGTCTCCACCTGATAGTACGTCATCAATGTAAAATTCATTCAGAATCGATTCAGCTGTCCGTGTAAAACGAATTTGCTCCTCTTTGGCCAAGGTACGCAAAACTTTGATGGCAAGATACGGAGCACAATTAGTCCCATATGTTACAGTGAGTAACCGGAAATGTTGTAGGGGCGACCCCGTGTCGAACGAGAATTTGCCTATACATTTTCTCGATATCTCCTGTAAACACTATAGGGTAATGTTGCCATTGCAAGATGATATTTGATAGATCCTTTTGTAATCTGGGACCTATATGTAGACAATCATTAAGAGATATTCCGTTCATACATTTATTAGAAGCATTGAACACTACGCGAAGTTTCGTTGCAGAACTCGATGCCTTATAGACACAATGGTAAGGAAGATAAGAGGCTGAATCTGCATCATGCGACTGTGGCACCACTTCCATATGGCTACATGTCTGATATTCGTCCATAAAATCTTGATAGAGCTTATACATTTCTGGATCTCGAGTTAATCGTTGTAAAGTACTGTTTAGTAATGCCAGTGCATTTAGTTTACTTGACTTAAGTATTGACAAATCAGCGTTCTGCTTTACTGGTAGTCTGAGCACATATCTACCCGTGTCGTTGCGTACAGTTGTACGCTCAAAAAAGTCTTCACAGTACATTTCATCTTTTGTTAACGGAGTTCGGCTGGTTATTTCTTCCAATTCCCAAAATTTATGTAGCACTTCGTGCAATGTTGTTCGAGTATGACCGTAGTAGACAACTTCAAAAAAACCGGAATTTTAACATATAAACCGCGTCCTGGGCGTCCAAAAGTTTTATCAGTCCGAGAAGAGCGAAAAATAGTCCATATGATAAAGATGAACCCTCGTGTTTTTTCTTCGAAAATTGTGAAATATATAAATCAATCATTTAAAAAAGTATTTGTGCGGAGACTGCTAGGAAAGTATTACATAAAGCTGGATATCATGGTAGAGTCGCTAGAAAGAAACCGTATATTTCACTTGTAAACAGACAAAATATGCGTT